CTCCTCTTCCTTCCCCTCCTCCTCTTCCTTCCCCTCCTCCTCTTCCTTCCCCTCCTCCTCTTCCTTCTCCTACTTAATTGTACCCTCAGTAATTAATTGCATCCTAAGTTTATAGAAGTGAGAATAATTTGAACATTATTAAATGACAGATCTTCTATTTCAGGCTGTCTGGAACATCAGAGAAAGCTTTGGTTTGGGTTCCTTTAAGGACATGGTTGATAGTTGTTAATTATGCAAAAATCCTTTAAAATGTCAGACAATTAAAAGACGATACAGAGGCTAGAGAGATGGCTCAGTGATTAAATATACTTGTTGAGGACCTACCTGGATTTGGTTCCCAGCACCTAAGTAATGGCTTACACCATGCGTGGGGCCAGTTTGAGAGGATCTGATGTCCTCTTCTGACCTCTGAGGGCACCACCAGGTGTGCATATGGTGAAAATACATTCATGCTGACAAAATATTCATACACATAAGTAAATCTGAAGAAAAATATTATTTTATAGCAGTATAAAACCAGAAAAGCTATTTTTTAGGGTTCTGAAATGTATCATAAAGACGTATCATAAAGATAAAGTTGTATAGTCAGAAACTTGTGAGTGTGTTATCTGAGTATTTCTTCCTTCCCAGTTCGTCCATTACTGTCAGTGCACATGTGATGGATGTGTGCCTGACTGTGTTCACTGTGGTGTATGTGTGGAAGTCAGAGGACAGCTTTTATGAACCAGTACTCTCCTCTCCCTCGTGGTGAGGCAGACTCTCCTATGTCTGCCATGCTACAGCCTGCAATACAATGGCCTAGGAGATTTCAGATGGCTCTTCTGTCTCCACCTCCCATCTTGCCGCAGGAGTTACTGTTCTCTACACTTCTTTCCGTCGAGCAGGTGTGGGACAGGCTGGTTTCTTATTTCGTTTTTATTCCTTTACTCCACAAAATGATGACATTTCTTTCCAAATAATCATCCATTCTCCTTTCAGGAGAGATTTAGCAATGTCTCAATGGGAAGGAACTTGTCCACCCACCCTTCCTACTTATTAATATCAACGCCTAAAATCATAGATAAATGCCGGGGAGAAAGGAAAAAAACCACCAAGGACAAAATCTAATAGTACACATTCTCTGCTCCTTGGGCTCCTGCTATCCAAATTCTGTGGCTATTCCAAATTTCCTCCCTGTATCAAATCTACAACTAGTCCTTGTTACAGATTTACATAGTTACAGAAAGATATTATAAGTCCCTTTTAACGTATAAAATAATGTTTTACACAACTACTGAATTTAACTCTTTTGTTTTATTAGCCACCGAGTTAGAAACTTCAGTGAGTAGATTTTAGTCACTGCAACCCTCACGGAGGCACAGGTCTGCCCTGGGGGGGGGGGGCTCCCCACACAGTGTCAGCACAAACTATGGTCTGGCCAGGAAGGAAGGCCAAAGCTTTGGAGGAAGGAAGCCAGGGTCAGAATTAGTTGAGAAATCAAGTTTGAATCTGTTAGGTCGTTCCAAATGAGGCCCTCCATTTGGTTTGGGTAAGGATCATCCAATAACAGCCCAGGCGGATGAAACCAGCATGGGAGATGGAAGTGGGGTGTAGGGAGATGTCGAAGTGAGGTGTATAGAACTCTCACCAACCTTTGCTGATACTTTCAGTGAAAGAACTGATAGAACCTTCAAGAAGGTTCCCTCCAGGGACATTCACCAGTAACTTGGGCAGGAGACTCCTTCAAACAAAGCCGCACCAGAGACAGGACCAGCACAGGCTTTGGTAGGATAGACAGATAGGAAGGTATACTTTTCACATTGGCATGAGCTGGCTCTGGACTGCCAGTGCCTTGCAGCAAGCTCAAACAGCCTGGTGGGGCAGCAGAGGGCACTGAAGTCTGTGGAATTACTGAAACCAATGACTACGCATTTTGGAACAATTCTTATGAGGTAACAGAAGGTGAAAAGCCTCAGAAGGCAGGAAATGACCACCTTTCAAAGCTCCACCTCTGTCTTCAGACCACCTGCCTCTTCCTAACTTAAAGGTTGGAAGCAGGAGAATGAGGTGGGGGCCTTTAAGCCCTATTTCAGATTCCTGCATAGGATCTCAATGTTATCACTGCTGTCACTCAAGAATCACACCCCACCCAGGAAACACAAGGGTAATCAAGGTTTCCCAGAAGCACAGGAAAAGACTCTGGGCCAGGAGGGATGCTCTGTGTGAAGATGCAGTCCTGCATGAAGCACCAAGGATGCTTACCATTTGAAAGGAGTGTGAACGCTGTATTTACATATAAATGGAAATAAAAAGTTCTTACAGGTTAGGTTTCTGGAAGGTGTGTGTGGCGGCCCTGTGGCTGGGATCTATTGTTTATTTGTGCTGCAAATGCTTTGAAATGTGTTAAAATGTTTCCCACTCATTATAAAGCTCCTGCCACCCCTGGATTACGACTTTGATGTCACCAATCCTCCTTCAAAGGGTTCTTTGCAGGCTATTAATCACAGTTTAGCCTCTGAAGATATCACCAGAGAAAACATTTGGACATCTCTGTGCTAGACTCACTAAAACATTGAAATCTTGAGCATCTAGCAAAAGCACACGTCGGCCTTTCCTTTTATTGACAAGTCTCCCTTCTGTTGTGCAAAATAGCTCCGGAAGTAAAAAATGCAAACAAACGCCTTCACACACTGAGGTTGGTGAAGAAAGGGTGGAGGGTAGATCAGGAAGGGAGGAGAGAGACTGAGAGGCTCCTCAGCCACAAAGGTAAGCCACAGGAATGAGCGTGGTCATGGGGCTGGCCCGTATCTGTTCACACTTGCTTTTCACTAACGAATGCTCACAGAGGGGGATGGGGAGCGCTCTTCTCTCACCTTCTATGCTGTGCTTTAAGTCCTACATGAATTGTTCACAATAAATTATAATAGTAAGTCTGACGGTCACTCGTCCATGTGCTTGGGAGCAGAAGCTTTTCAGATTTTGGATTTTCAAAATTTCAGATTTAGATTTGAGAATATTTGCATCTGCATAATGAGTTGTCTGGGAGATGTGACCAAGTCTAAACACAAGATTTAGGTTCCAAATATATGTGTATAATTACCTGAAGGCAATTTCTACCATATGCATATAGGCATATAGTATTAGTATGTATGTATGTGTATATGTATATGTGTATACACATATACATATACACATATATACACAAATTCATGATGCAGGTTATATACATATATATACACACTTATGTGTATATATGTTTTACATGTATATACATATATGTATGTATACACTTCACATACTATATATCAAATACATATATATGTTTGATCCCCTGCATCACACACATATACACAAACCACACTCTCTATATAATATATCATACATATAATTATAATATTGTATTATATATAATTATTATCTAACATATAATATATACATGTATGTATTATATGTATTACATTACAATAATAATATACATATTATTCCATGCACAAACCTATACTATTATTATACTAGAGAGTGAGCTTAGGGCTTTGTATATACTAAGTGTTCAACATCATATATATATACATATATATATATTTTTTCTCAGCATCACACATATACTCTTTATATAAGATATTATACATTATATCACTATATATAATTATCTAATATTATATACTATATACACATGTTGTATATGTATGTGTGATGTGTGATGCTGGGGATCGAATCCAGGTAGGCAAGTGATCTTTGAGTTTTACCTCCAGTAAACTCAAAACTATTTTACACAATATACATGGTAAGATTTTACGTTCTGTAGCTGGGACGTAGTTCAGCAGCAGAGCTGAAGAGCCGACACATAGCATGTACAAAGCCCTGGGCTCAATCTTGGGTATAATTACAGTATAGTTTTGTGCATGGAACATCGTTCCAGGGTGGGTAGCGTGGTTCTACTTGCAGCATCCTATCAGTGCTCAAAGTTTTTGCCTCTTGGAATCTTTTGGAGTTTGGATTTTTACGTGTAGGCACATTCACCTTGTGTCATTAGTGCATACTCATTGTCGAAACCAAACCTTTGACACTTTTCTTATAGGAATTCCATAGTTTCAAGTCTTATATTTAAGTCTTCAGTATTCAACCACTTGAACTTTTTAACTTTTTTAGCTTTGTGGGGTGTGTGTGTGTGCGCACACGTGCTTGTGCAGGCACAGCAATACTGTGGTGTGCATGTGGAGGTCTGAGGACAACTTGTGGAAGTCAGTTCTCTTCTTCCGCCAATGTGGGACTCAGGGATTGAACTCAGGTTGTTAGACAGCAAACTGAGCCATCTTGCCAGCTGGAAAGTTTGTGACTTTTAAAAAATTCTTAGGATACCAATCTGAAAACTCAGAAAAACACAAGGATGTTAAAGGGAAAGTTATCCATAACTCGGTTTCTTAACTTTTCCTTCACTTTAAAATGTTTTTTTTTTCTTTTTCCTCTTTTTACTTCTTTGCTCAGGTAATTTGGCGCAAACCAGAGCGAGGATCACAGCATCCTCGAGATCTTTGCCTCCACATTTCAGTGCTGGGAGAGCCAAGGTGAGCACTTGCTTTGTCCCTCTGATGGGACTGGGAATCGATGCTAACGCCAGAGCATGCAGCACGCTTCTCTCCATCTGCCTGCAGTCTGCAAAGGCAACCTGCGGTGTTGGGGAAACAAGGGGAATTTTGAAAGTTTAGGAAATCTGAATCATGGAATCCTTGCAATCCTGGTAGTCAGCAAAAATGCCTAACATAGAGGATGGTGACATATGCACAGTGTCCTTCTGGAAAGAAGACAAACAGTTTTCTGTGAGACTAACACCACCTTGCAGAAGGTGAGACCAGACAGATTCAGCAAGGAGAAAAACAACAACAACAACAACAACCAAACAGTTCCCTGTCCTCTAAAAATGTGTTATGTGGGACCATGTTAGGAGGGTTCATACATATCAAACCATAAAATCCTACCCAGCTGTTTGGCCCTTCCAACTGACGCTCAGACAGAACCGCAGAGAGCACCTGATTGATGTCTACTGTGTCCAGTATTCCTCATTTGTCTGTGGTTCAGCTTTCCATGGCTTTAGCCACCAGTGGTCAATCATGATTCAGATTCAAAAGCATTAAATGAAAAATCTGGTAAACAAGTAACTGGTAAGTTTTATATGTGCTCGCACCTGAGGACAGTATGAACTCTCTTGCTCTCTCTGGACTCTGATAAGATATGAATCATCTTTTCAAAAGGTGAATCCAGGACTGTGCACTAGTCCTTTAGTGGCCATCTCAGTTGCTAGGTTACCTCTGACATCACAGTGCTTTTTTTTTTTTAACCTAATGTTGTCTCTCAAACATGAGATGTTGTCAATTTTGATGGTTGGGGGGAACCCACAAGCTTCCTAGCTTCCGGTTAGTACAGTACAATTTAGAGTTGATAATTGTATTATTACTTGTTGTTTGTCTCTTACTGTGCCTTATCTACAAGTTAAACTTTATCATACAAGTGTATACATAGTAAAGGGGGTTTGATGAAGCCCACAACTTCAGGTATCTCTTCCAGGAAATCCCCTAAGGATAAGAAAAAAAACATATCCTAACCTGAAAACCAGTTAGTTATCTTAAAGAGGTTGAAATAATAAGTAGTTCACACCTCAGAATTTTCTTACTTTTTATTTATACAACATATTAACTTAATTTAAAAAATAACTAACTTGATCATATATAATTCCATTAAATATTACTCCAGAATTGATACAAATGAACATACTTATACTCTCTTGGGAGTAAAAGATTTACTTGTGCATAGTAGGACTCTAAAGATTTTATCGAACAATACATTTTATGCCCATGTTGCAATTATGACCTATTTGAATCTCCTAATTTTCATGTTGTTTCTTTGTGGCAAGATATCAGGACTATTTACCATGGCTAGATAGGCCCACGAGAGATATGTTTGTGGGAGTGTAACTACTCCTAAGAACTTCTTGGTCTTACATGAGAATGTGGTTAATACTAAATGTGGTTGATTCTCATTATTTGTAAAAACTATGATCTGTAACATCACTGCAAACAGCACCGCTGAACCACTCACTGCCCCTAGAGGGTAACACAGGGTTAGGTTCCAGCAAGAGTCTGGTCAGAGCCAACCTAACCCTCAGTTTATGTGATTTTGTTTGAAGACAGTTATACACACATGCATACATATACATACACACCCCCATAGACACACAAACACACACACAGACATAGACATTCACAGGCATATACAAGCTCACATACACATGCAAATACACACACTCACAGACACACATACTTTACTGTCTATCTTGTTCAGTGTTTTAACCATATTTCACTCACAGCATCTGTGCCATTAAAGTCACAAACAACTTCACTGTAATTCCTGAGGAAAGCTTGTTAGCACACATCTTCTGCCTGAGGTTCATCACCCTCTTCTTGTGTTTAGAAACTCTATACAGCACTTCAGCATTACACTTGGGGACCCCCAAAACTGAAAAGTTACCAATAATCCACATATAAATACTAAACCAGAAGCATTTCAATAGACCTTGAGAGTAGACTGTGAGTGTGTGTGTGTGTGTTTTGTAGGAGAGATGACCCAGAAGAGCTGGCTCTGACTTTTTGACTCTAACCCGAAAGCTGGGCACCAGCAGACTCCTGTGTTTTCCTACTAAGTACATTCTGTGAATGACCAGGAAAAAGCACTGGTGGTTGACATTGTGGCTACAGATAAATTTTAGCAGGCAAGCAAATTAACAAATGCAGAATCTACACATTTTGATAGCCTATAGTGTGTGTGTGTGTTTCCTTTTTTTTTTTTTTGTAGTTATTGGCTTTCTAGAAAATTCTAAATGAGATCATAACATAAAAAGATTCCTTGATTCCTTATTGTCCAGATCTTTTTTCTTTCTTACACTTGATTTCTGAATTTGGAGTCCTGCTAAGACCTGTGCCTTGCCCTTCAAGCCTACAATCCAGCCTGATGCTATCTTCTCCCTGCTTCATGCAGCACTGTCCCGACCTGCCCACATGAGAAGTGTGCAGTCCAGTGTGTAGTCTACATTTAAAAGCATACATACGATAGGTACACAGGACTTGAGTTTGCTTGTTCTTTGAAAGCAGATGAGCTGAAAGTTCTGATTAAGGCATTCAAATTTACAAAAGACAACAGGAATAAACAAGCAAACAACACCACACAGACAAGCACGGGCCCACACCTGTCATCTCAGCCCCAAAGTCACAGACACAGGGCCAGTCTGCATTCAAGACCCGCCTGTGCTGGTAAGACTTCCTCAAAAAACTAAGCAAAACAGAAAAGTTACCATTTGGGTTCTGCCTCATCTAAGGGGACACAGAGCCCTCGATGAAGCTGGACTTCATGGGATATGAAAAGATTACTGTTTTTTTCACCTATCATAAAGTTCCTGGTTCAGAGCTTCATTTCAAAAGACAGACCTGGGACTTGGGAAATGAGGACCCAGCAGCACAAGGAAACTGTGTCTAATCAGCCAGGCAGAGATACTTAGAGGACAAAATGTAGCAAGCCTTGTTAGTTCAAATCCTTCTTGAGGGACTGTGCAGCCTCCTTCCTAGTGATGTAAGCTAAGACACCTGCATGCCTTTAAGTAGGTAGGGAGGTCAGAAAGAGTGATCTGCCCAGGCTTTATGAAATGCTTCAGAGAAGAAAAACAAAAGGCTAGAGAGGCCTTCCTGCTTCTGCTGTTTGCACAGATCGGGGTGGGGGTGGGGCGGGTGCCTCCTGCCCCCTGGCTGCACTAGTTCTCTGCCACAGAGCCTTCGGAGAGGGGCAGTGCAGCGCTATAGGGCCTTTTCTTCTTAAGAGCTGGGTATATCTATCACCTGATAATAAAAGTTCTTGACAGAGTGTTTCATGATTAGAGACACTTCTGAGGTTTTAGGATGCAGATGGTGAGCACTTACCCAGATGAGGAAAAAATTCTTCAGCTTTTCCTTTACTGCTGAGCTCTGGCTGGTTTGTGGGATTGTTTAGAGTCCGTGTCTTTATGGCAGAGTAAATTCAGTTGACAGACAAGGCAAATCTTTGTGATTATGCCATACGTTCAGACTTCCTCCATTTTGTAAGTTATATGAAAGCACACAGATAGCAGTGCATAGCAACAGGATGTAAGGCTTAGAGATGGAAGCTGGTTTCAGCCCTAGGCACTGCATACACTGGCAGCACGACTGGACCACTGACCTAGAAATCTATGAGTGTTAACTTTTTTCATTTGCATAGTGGAATAAAAACTGTTTTTGCACCAGAGTATCACTTTCAGAATTCTCCTCACGGTGTACCCAGTTATGTCCTAAACATTAAATTCCCTGAGGTTATTGACTAAACAGACCTTCAGGTTTTGAAAAATGAATGAACTGTCCATACCCTCAAACCACTTCCTTCTTCCTCTGCCTCCAGGTAGACACCCTGGAGGTGATCCGACATCCAGAAGAAACCACCAACATGAAGAGACAAACCATGGCTTCTTACTTCCGGGTATGGAGGCTGTCTTTTCTGTGCTCTACCCGTTTCCGGAAAGGACTAGCCCAACCTTCCCATATGTCTTACTCACTGTTCTACTGATGTGAAGAGTCACCATGACCACAGCAACTGGTATAAAGGAAAACACTTCATTGGAGCTGACTTATAGTTTTAGAGGTTTAGTCCATTTTCATCAATGCAGATGAAATGCGGCAAGCAGGCACACAAGGTGCTGGGAAAGTAGCTGTGAGTTCTACGTCTGGAACAACAAGCAGGCAGCAAGAAGAGAAAGCCCACTGCCTGTGACACGTTTCCTCCAACAAGGCCATGCCTACTCCAAAAGGCCACACCTCCTAATCCCTGCCAAGTAGTGCTACTCCCTAATGCCCAAGCATTCAAATACAAGCCATGAGTGACAGTCTTATTCAAGCTACCACACCTTGTGAGGTCCAGACAATGACAGAGTCCATGGAACCAGGGCCAAACACAAATATCAGTTAAGAAAGAGGTGGGCAACCAAGTCTACATACCAAATTCCAGGCCAGCCAGACCTCCACAGTGAGACCTTCTTTCAGACTAGGGAGAAAAGATTACGGCGGCTGCAGACAAAGAATTTCACACACACAGTCCATTTTGTTGACTCTGCTGGGAGTCTTTGAGCAGCTTCTTGGCTTTAAAAGTGAAGAGAAACACTTTCCCACCAAATAACAGCAGTTAATAACATTTAGAAAGTGTTCTTTCAAGTTAGAACACTGAGGAAAGCATTGGCTCATATTCATAGGTTTGACTGACCCATTTGCCTGAGCCCTGCTGTTCTCATTTCTGCTCCCCCAGTCTCTGATATTCTTTCTAGAGAAATGCTCCTGCTGTTAAGAACAATACATGTAGAAGTGTTCTATTAAGTACACTTACAGTAAAGGTAAGGCACCTGGGCCCTTCCACCAGTTTGCACTAATCACTATGAAACAGCGTTTGGAAACCCCTTAGAGAGGATGTGCACTGGGAGAGATGGTTCAGGTAGCTTCATGGTCGAGATGCCGTTGTTAAGAGAAAGCAGGAGCTGATCTCACGAACAGAGAGTGAGATGGTAACATCGAGTTGGCATAGAAAACCATTCCACGGGATGGTTTGGGCTAGGGGGCTGGACCACAGGCTGGAGGACAAGGCAAGCTGAAGAAGAGGACTTGGGAATCAGCACTGTAGACGAAGGAAGGTTCCTCAATGGAAAACTCAGTGTCCAACAAAGATGGTGGAGTTTCACAGGCAGAATAGAACTGGGCTCTCATTGTGCATGGTGGGGCCTCAGACCTTGGAGTCCAGGACTCCATGAATGCCGCCATTCCTATGACAGCGCCTCCAGCAAGCAGTTCTCGGTGCTTGCTTAATTTCTCTTGGATATTTGTGATTTCCCTTTCTTCCTTATCTTCCTCAGCCTAATTTGGTCCTCTTTACTAACCATGTTCTTGTCCTCCTACTATCTGTTGGTGTCTATGCGCATTTATGTGTGCAAGCGTGTGTGTGTGTGTTTCCCCTTGAGACTTGAAGACTCTTTGTCTGTGATGTCATCCTCAAGATTTTCAGTGTCCCTATCAGAGGACAAATCTCTAGCTTGTAGATTTCAGAAATATGACCACGCCAGCTAGTTTGGTTTCTTCAAAATACTGGTCTCCAAATTCTAGAGCAGAAAAAACGAGATCCCTTGGTCTGTTAGGTAAGACCACTTCTGGTCACTAAGAGGAGTGACTTCAGACGACTGGAACTCATTGTCTGTGTGGTTTGTAATTGCCTCTGAGAGCTCTAACAATAGACAACCCCGAGAGAAACACCCTTGTCCCACAAGCACCCTTCTTGTTGTTCATGGTTTTCTTTTTCTCTGTAAGGTGTATAGTCATTGACTATCACAATCCTTTCCTCTAATAATCTT